CGAAAGGGGAGCGGCGGGGGGCACTAGCGCCATCTTCCTTCCCGGCCTCTAGAGTCGTGGCTGCGGCCTGCGCCGCTTCCCCGACCGCGCTCCCGTGCCGCTGACTGGAATGAGCCGGAGCTGGCCTGGCTGTGCTCCCGCCATTTGCACCTTACGCATCCGCCCCTCCTTTCCCTGATATCCGTACGCGCGACAGAACTCAGCCAGTGGCGGAGCGTCCTGACCTGCGAATGGGCCGACCAGATAACGTTTGATATGTTATGCTATATCAAGCATTGCTTTTGCTCACAGAGCCATCGTTTGTTCTGAGAGCGTCTCGTGGTAGGCCCAGAGGGGTGACAGGACGGTCAAAGAAACACGACGGGCGTTTTCGCACCCGCTTCGAGCTTCTGGGGGCCCGGTTGGACCGATACAGCCCGCCACATGCTACACATATCTGGGCTCAAGGGCTTCAGCCGTGATGTTTTTGTGGCGACGCCGCGTGCATTTTCTCTCGCGACGTCGGATGCTTGGGCTTCTGTGTTGTCCTCGCCCTCTCTGTGTTGCTCTCCCCTCTCTCCCCCGCGCGTCTGGCCCTGCTATCTCCGGGCTCGGACCCGTCGTATCTTCTTGGCTTTCTGGAGGGAGGGGGGTCCAGCTCAGGTCCGTTGCCTTCTTCTCCTCCGGGCCTTCAATGTATTTACCCTGGCCCGCTGTGGCGGTATCTCTTCGGTTGTCGCAGTCGTCGTTCATGTTGACAGCTTGCAGCCGACCGTAATGCCTCTTGCGCATACAGCGAGCACATCAAATATCCGCCAGCGTAGACCCCAAACAGTGGCTTTTAGCATACTGGGTGATACAATCGACGTGGTGCAAGCTATGTGGTGCACACTATGTGGTGTTAGCTATGTTGTGCAAGCTATTTGGTTTCAGCGGTGCGGTGCAATCTACGTGGTGCAATATATGTGGTGCGGTACATCGGGTGTGAGTTATGCAGTGCCGGTTGTGTGGTGCAATCCATGTGGTGCGATCTAGGTGGTGTGAGCGGTGTGGTGCAATCCAGGTGGTGATATATGTTCAGTGGAATAGATGTGATGTGGGCTACCTGATGTAAGCAATGTAGTGCGAATTCTGTGGTGCCAGCATGCTCATCGAGGTGGTGTGAGCAACGTGGTCCGATCTATGTGGTCCGATGTATGGTTCGATATATGGGCCATGAGCTATGTAGCACAGCCTATGTGGTGGAATGTATGCCTGCTCGCAGTGAGTTGTCCACTCAACTGCTCGCGCAATCATCCCACCCACCCAGCCGCAACTTGGTTTGCAAAATCCGTGCAGCGGCGAATTCGATGAGTGCTTGGAGTTGGCTGGGGCACCTCTGCGGCCGCGCTAGCCCGCGCATGCTCATGCGCGCAGAAGCCCGATAGTTTGACGCGACCGACGCGGCCGCGATGGCGCTGACCGCTGGGCACTTCCCAGCGCTCACTTCAGTGCGAATCGGCGACTTGGGTGGGCGCGGTATCATGTCAACGTCGACAACGGTAGACGCGATGATGATGGTAGCGATGCTGTTGGCGACGATGACGAAGACGACGGCAAAGCCAGTGACGGGGCCGATGTTGATTAAGCCGACGACGATGACGGCGTCCTCGCGTCGGTGATGATGGTTTTGGCGCGGCAGACGCGCGAGAGTGGCCCGCATGGTATCACTTGACACGGACCGTGCCACCCCCCAGCACGCGCGCAAAGACGCTCGAATGAATTCGACGTGCGGCGCGAGGCGCCCGCTCGGCAGAATTTCATGAACATGCTGGGCAATCAGAGGAATCTCCGGTTGTCTTGAAAATTCGCAGGAGCGCGAGCGCACGCATTGTTGTAAATTGGTGTTGCGAAGCCATGTGTTTTATACGCTTTCGGGACACTCGACTTTGAATGCCTTTCGATTTGTAAGATGTTTGAAGGATTCCCGCAACGCGCGATGACGCGCTCGCGTGTACTTCGTCTCTCTGTTGCAAGGGATTCTTGCGACAGCACGCGCGCCAGGGCGTTCGAGCGATTCCGACATGCGCGCGCGAGAGGTCCGTTCGACAGCAAGGTCTGCAATTGTTGCAAACCGATGGTTTTTCAATAATTCGCAACAACCCGAATGCAAGCTGTTCTTGAACATCCTTATTGCGAAACCATGCGTTATATACATATATATATGTGTAGCTTTGTCTAAATGTTTATATACACATATATATATATATACACATAGATGCACACATTCGGGAGACTCGAGATGGGAACCCCTACGACACCGAAGGTTGTTGATGGACTTCCGCATGCGCGCGCGGCGACGCGCGCGTGTGCACTTTGTCCCATATGTTGGAAACGATTCTCGGACACGGATGAGTTTTGATCAACGAGCGCGCGCGCGCGTAGAACTGTTCTTTGGCAGGGGATGAATGGGGGGATACTGGATTAGTTGAGATGGTACGAACTCATGTTCAGGATGGGCGATGGGACATAATCGCATGTAAACTGCACATCCCCATGGGGAGCCGAGAGGTATGGCGGGGGGGGAATAGTTTTTTTTTGTTTTTTTTACAAAAAAATATTGGACGGAAAATCCATGTGGTGCGATCGATGTGGTTCGATTGCATTGCAATGCAGCGCAATGCGATTGCAGCGCATCGCAGTGCGATTGCAATGCAATGCGGCGGCGAGGCTGCGGCGACGGGCGACGACGTGGCGGCGACGGGCGGCGACGAGCGGCGACGGGGCCGCGACGGGGCGACCACAAGCCAGCCGGGGCGGCACACGAGCCCGCGACGACTGGGCGACGGGTGGCGACGAACGGCGACGGGGCAACGACGGGACGACAACAAGCCGGCCGGGGCGACACACGAGCACAATTCTTTTAAACACAAGTGAGAAAACCTAGTTGCACATACTCTCTGGGAATAAGGAATCGGCCTGTCAGCATATGGCCAACAGAAACTTTTTATCCCCAGATGGCCCTTGCGGGCCCACAGAAGCTCTGGGGGGTCATCGACGAAGAATTTGCCCAACGATTTCCTACAGAAAGAAAAACTACTGCAGTTATGTGTGGGGAAGTTCGTGTTGTCGTCGTTTTCATCGTCGTCATCGTCGGCGTCATCCTCCCCCCGCTCCTCCTGCCCCCTGGGAGCTCTTGGCCCCGTCCCCGCGACCGGTTGTTCACCATTGGCCGGGTTTCTGCGTGTCTTGCGCTCGGAACCGCGAAGCAGATTGCGGTGTTGATGCGTGTCGGAGGTTTTGGTGTTCCTCTTCTCTCCTCTTTTTCCTCCTCTTCCTCCTCCTCCCTTTCCTCCCCCTCCTCCTCCGCCAACCCCCCCAAGTCAGGACGCGGGGCCGCGCGGGGGGTGCCCCACCTTTCCACCGCGCAGAGGCACCATGCAGCGGCGCGGGCCATGGCGGTTGCCGTGACCGCGGCGAGTGGCCGCGCTGGCAGGTCCATGCGCGGACGTCGCCGCTGCTCTTCGGACTTTTCAACCCGCTGTCGGCGGTGGGGAGCCGAGGAGAGGACATCGCTGATGAGGTCAAGATTTTGACGTTTTCTCCTTGACCGGTACGCAGAGCACGGCGCACCCAGGCTATTCGCACGGGACCCATCCAGATGCTACTAAACGGTCGATTGTTGATTCAGGCTGGGGTCTCGGACAGAACACCAACAAGTCCGCAGGATGCATCTTGATTGTTGGCGGACGAATCAAGACGCAACATCTCCGACTAGTATTTGCGACGCCAGTTCCACTGCAGGGACGACTGCTAGCAGCGAGGTGCAAGAATGGCATGTTGAACATCACGGCGATTGCTATGCATTTCCCACCAAGACCACGCAGTGCCCGGTCGGGGACCAACTCTCATGAAACGCGCAAGCGGATGGCACAATGGCTGGACCAGGTGCTAGCACAGACTCCTCACTGCTCGCTGCCCATCGTCATGACATATCTGAATGACGGCATTGGTCTCAATGCGATGGGCGACAACATGGGGGAGGGCACCATCAGCGAGCAGAACGCGACGAAGGAGTTCAATCACGGCGCGGGCAGTTTGATTCGGGACATTATACTACAGCACCACATGGCGGTTTTACAATGCGACGAAGGTGCCAATTTGGTTTGGAGGCAACGGCGAAACGGCGAGGCTGGATTACACTATGAGACCATTGTCTTGGATGGAAGACAGCACGCAGGCGAAACGCTTACCCACGCTCGGACGCCGATTGCAAACCATACCACACCGAGTACTACGCGATAGCGTCCCATTCGTCACGAGGACTGATTGCGACAAGCTTGCAACCACGGACATGCGTAACGATGAATTACGACGAGGACGTTGGCATAGCGATTCACTGGTGCACCCCCTCAGGCATGGCGACAGGGAGCACAACTACCTAGAGGAGCTCAACGGTTACCTACGCGACCACATGCAGGGGTGGTTACAGTTGGATCTGCAAACTACACCAGACGACATCTTCAACTACCTGCAGCACCACATGGCATGTTGCGCCGAAAAACCGTTTCCGGAGCCGCGGTACGTCAACACGCATTGTGTTGAACTACGACGGGCATTGTTGACAGTACTTCAGCAACGACGAGACCTACGGGAGGCGACTTGGGCCACACAACATACGAAGGCACAGGCGGAGGAATTGTTTCGGAGCGTTCCCAGGCAGCGCGCCAAGATACGACAATGGGCATGGCGACAGGTGCGCGAGGCCATCTCTCAAGATGTACAGGAACATTGGCACCGCAGACGGTTCGCACGGGCACACAGACTGACGATACGGTTTGGCAGTACACGGTTGGGGACCAAACGACGTGATGTTCGAGCTCTACCCTCAGCGCATCCGACGAAGACCGAGTGGATGGAGGCACTCACGAAACACGGCAATCAAGGCGGCATGGGTGCTCGCGAAGTCACGCACCACCCGCGAGCACAAGGGCCGCGGCTCGAATGTGAAGAACTACCTGATGAGCTTCCCCGCATCCCAGATCCTTGGGGTTTCATGCGCGAGCTCGACCAGCCACCTGAATTGCCCGACGCGCACGCCGCGGCCGCCCACCACGAGAGCGAGCGCGACATCGAACGATTACGATGGCGCCTACGACGTACGCCAAAGCGCAGAGCCTGCCCAGCACATCCACCACCGGCGGAGTTGTACTTGATGGTCTTGAACCCACAGCGCGACAGACACTACAGGGGCGCTGGCTTTGACATAGACGACACAGACGACAGTTACATCGAGGCACGCCTACACCTGGCCTTCTTCCATTTACGCTACCACCAGCTCGCGCCAGCAAGTTGGCACATCAGCGAGTGCTACCCAGCCAAGACGCACGATGCTCATGGACCTCAAGGTCGGCGCCTTCTTCGCATCCCCAGGGCGGCCATCGGCATGGGCTTCTTCGCGCGCTGCATCAAGTCGCGACGACCTGCTGAATTGCCGCCAGAACACCACGGATGCGCTCGCGGCAGACGGCGAGAAAGTGCAATCATGGCGGCCATGGCGGTGGCCCACAGACTCACGGAGGTGAAATGCTCTTGGGTCGGCAGCTTCAAAGACATGACCCACCTTTTCCCGTTTGCGAAGTGGGAGTGCATGGAGAAAGCCGAGGAGGAATTGGTTCGACAACGCGATCTACGATTGGCACTGCAACAGATACGCCGAGCTCTGGTTCAGTCACCAGCAGCAGAAGGCGCACTACAATTTCGACCAGCAGAGGGAGGCGCCATGGGGGGCCCATTCATGGCACAAGGTTCCCCCCGTGCTTTCCACTGCGCGATTCAGCCGTGGGCGGATAATTGGAGGGACAAGGATGACGCAGATGGCTCACTATTGGTCAGGTGCCCGCCCCGTCACCAGACTGGACGTAGACCTGGGGCCCCGCCTATTCGCTGACGACAGCAACAAGAAGATGTTCCAGCACCGGCCTGGCGCAACGGAGATGGTCAATACCGACGCGCTTCGACGCGAGCTAATCGATCGCGACTTCATCGTGGATCACCACCTCACCAGCATTGGGCTCGCGCAGAACAAGACGAAGCAGGCGGGCATCATCGCCATCCATGGCCACGGGGGCGGCATCGCCAGACGACAACTACGATAACGGAACCTACGAGCTAGATGGGATGGACACTTGATGGATTCCGCGCGCTACCTGGGTCAAATTGCGACGGGCACGCAGAATTTCGTCATCGAGCTTGAGATGCGAATCGACGCGGCGAAGGCGGCCTTCTATTAAAAAGAGTGTTTCTGGAGTGCAGCTGGCACCCCGTGGACGTGGAGGCGCGCTGTCTTGCTCGGAAGGGTGGCCTACGCGGCGCCATCGGCGGCGGAATCACTTCTCCCCGCGCCGCGACAGCATGGCAAGCTCGACGCAGCGGTCGCTCACACGGCGAGAATTGCCACGCGGGGCAGGGCCGCTACTTGGAACGAGGACGGCGCGGCAAGGTCGCTCACTAACCACGAAGTTTTGGCGCACTGGGAGATAGCCAGAGCAGAGGTTAAGTTTCGCGTGAGAAGGCTGAGATGGCTGCAGACGGCGGCAGGCGATCGCAACAATCGTGCCAAGTTTTTGTTGCTGTACTTTTTGGCAGCATCAAGGGCCGGCGTTCTGCGACGGCTGCTGACGACGATGATCGGTTGGCTGCTGCGGCAAATCCCTGGGCCCGCAGAGTTCAGCGCGATGTCGACGCTCTCGTTTCTGGCTCCGAAAAAGCTCAGTCGTTGCAGGAGGCAGCTGGACCGCGCGTCTTGGCCCGACTACAAATCCCGCTCTGGAGGGGTGAATTATGCCGAATCGACGCCCGCGTTCCGAGGGCCCACGATTCCTGCAATTGCGCCCCGCCTCAGCCCGTCGCCGAAGAGATCTCGCAGGGCCCCCAGGAGGGGGAAACGAACGACACAGAGGCGGAGGAGGACGATACTTTCGTTCTATTCGATTACAGCGCATACACCGAGTGCATACATCGATTTGCTGAAGCGCCTCTACGCAAGGCAGACTGCTACTGTAATCGCTGGTGAGAGAAGTAGACCCTTCGACATCTCCCGGGGCGTGAAACAGGGGGATCCGATAAGCTCTTTCCTGTTTGTCGTGGTCATGGAAGCAATCTTCCGCAAGTTGAAGGCACGCTGGAACAAGCTGAATAGCAAGCGCACTGGAATGCATTATGGGTTATTGGTGGACGACCCCGAAGATCCCCTGACGAACATGCGCTTCGCCGACGACGTGCTCCCCCGATCTGGATGCATGAGGGGCGTCTCCAGAATGATCGCAGATTTGGAGTCGGGGCCCAAAAAATATGGCCTCAAGGTCCATATGGGCAAGACAGTGGTACTGACCAACGCATCTGACCGGCCGCCACATGTAAAGCGCGGCGCGCACAATGCGAGAGCGCTCCAGCACGGCGAGTCAGAGAGGCATCTTGGCAAGAAGGTTTCTCTGGATGACGCCCACGGAGCAGAATTTGGCAACCGGCTCGCTCCCGGACGGGCTGCGCTCCACGCTTTGAAGGATTGCTTGTGCAACAAGCGCCTCCAGATCCAGCATCTGAGATTGTTCAGAGCATGCGCGGCGCCCTGCGTTCTGCGAGCCCCCGGCACCTGGACGCCCACAGCGGCCAAGGAGCGAAAGCTTCGATCCACGCAGCGCCGGGCGCTGAGACAGATGGCGGGCATTCGACGGCTACCTGGCGAAAACTGGGTTGAGTATATCCGGCGCGCCACGAGCGCCAGCATGCAGCTTGCTGAGCGAAGCGGCGTGGACGATTGGGCGTCAATGTTCTCGAAAAAGAAATGGGCATTAGCAGGCAAGCTGTCTTCGCCCACCGACAGCAGATGGAGCGCGAGACTCGTGAATTGGGCACCTTGGTTTAGAGCGCACGCATAGAGAAGCGCAGGCCGCCCGCCCAAAAGGTGGACAGACGTGTAATTGTTTTAATTGATTGTTCTCCCGTTCCCCTCCTGCCGCTGCCGTTGTTGCTCTGCTGCCGCTGCCCCCCTCCGCCGGCCGTCCGGTCGCCGTTTTCCTGCTCTGCTGCCGCTCTCTCTCGCTCGCTCTCCTGCCTCCTCCTCCGCGCTGCTCTCTGCTCGGTCTGCTCTGCTGCTTGTTCTTCTTGTTTTCGTTCGTCGCCCCCCCCCCCCCGCGTCCTCCTGCCGTCTGCCTCCTTTTTCCTGCCGTTGCTGCTGCTGACCGCGCAATCAGCCGGGCGCCTGACGTTCGACGTCTGTCACGCCGCGCCGCGGTAATTTGTTTCATATCGCACTGTTGTTTCACTTTCTTCAAAGGTTGCGATATTTTCACACCTCGCCGGTCATGTCGGCCCGGCGCCTTGCCGGGGCAGGCGGACTTCCCGCCCGCCCACGGGCCGCTCTGCTATGCCCTGTTCTACAATGGAGGTGGGTGGGGCACCGCGCGGGCGGACATTTCACACTGCGAGGGCACTACGCACGCATGTGCGGCAAGTACACAGCATAGTCAATATCTGCGCGTTCTACAACATTACCAACAAGCGCATTGCGCGTGAGACGGCGCCCGCTAGCAAGACAACGGCACGGAGACACTTAACGCGCTCATTTCAACGGGGATATTGCGGTATGGACTTCGCGAGGACCCTGGTGTCAGTGCAGGAACCCAAGAATCTAGAATGCCCTGGGCGTCCGTTCATAGCCAGTTCTTGGCTCGAACTACGCGCTCATCTCTCACGCCCCCCCCCCCCCCCCATCTACCCGACATCCGCTCGCCCGCCGCAGTCGGCAAGGTCCTGCCGAACGGCGGACGACGCTGGCGACCCGCGGTGGATGACAGACGCTGGAGTCGCCGACGTCGGCTGGGCGCTTCCCAAGTCGAACGTGCGGGCGGCGGCCACAGAAGGCGGCGGAGCAGCGGCCAAGCCGAAGACAGGCGACGACGCGGCGAACGAGGCGAAGGCCGCGGCGGGGGAGGGCGCCAGCAGAGCGCAGGTCGCGCAGCAGTTCGTCACCATCCTGGGAAAGCTGATGCTCAGCCTAGAGGGCGACTTGCGTTCGGTCATCAGCGCCGCGTTCGCGGCCGCTCTCGCCCCGCTCAGCCACCCGAGCGCCAAGGCGGCAGCGCGGGCTGGCACAGACTACCTCGCGGCAGCGGTGAAGCTGCGGGAGGGCGCCAAAGAGGACGACGCGGGTGGACACGGCGAGCGAGGCTGGGCTCACCACATCGACGCGAATTGAAGGATTTCATCAGGGCGTTTCTCGCGAGTACCGAGGAAGGGGAATACCGCGCAGCGCTGCACGAACACCGGAAGTAGGTCGCCATGAAGAAGGAGCTGGCCGACCAGGGCGCGCCACTTCAGGTTGCGGGTTCCGCGGGGCAAGGAGAAGAATAAGAGCGGCAAGCGCATGGAGGGCAGAGCACGCCTTCAGTGGTCGACGTCGGTAACGGAGCAGGGCGACCGCCTGGACCAAGTGTTTCGCAACCAGACCATACAGATGGAGGGGGAGATCACCATTGGCGCGGCGCCACGGGGAGTTTTGGAGAGGGACGGCAGGGCGTTCTTACACAAAGATGACGGCGGCTCGGGCCAGTAGGGCAGCGTAGATTGGCAAGTCTAGGGAGTTCTGGGTGCCTGCGGAGTCTCTTGGACCGGGGCCCTCTGAGTGGCGAACCTGTTCTCTCGAGCCCTCCCTCCTCCCTTTTCTGGAGTGGAGCTTTCTTGGGCTCTCGGGGCCGCGTGGTCCCAGTAGCGAAAATTCGGCCGCGCCCGAAAGGGCGCGGGAAAGGCACGGGTGGGCGAAGTCGCCGCCCACTGAGCAGGAGGGAGAACGGGTCTCCTCGAGCCGAGCCTTGATTTCCTGGCCCCCTGGGGGTCAGCGAGGTTAGCGCCGTGCTTGAAGGGGTTCCTCGCCGTCCTTGGTAAGACTGATGGGCTGCCACCTCTGCGGCCCGTGTTTCCCCTGCTGGCTTGCCAAAGGGGCCCGCGTGCATCCCACAAGTGTCAGCGAGTAACATAGTTGAATCCCTCACCAACGTTGCCGCCCAGCGATGCTAGGACGATGAGACTCATGCTTTCTTCGCCAGGGGAGGTCAAAGTCAAGGTCTCCTCCTCCTCCTCCTGCTCCTCCTCCTCCTCTTCCTCCTCCTTTTCCTCCTCGTCCTCATCCTCCTTCCTCGCCCTTCCTCGTCTCGAGAAGTCGGCGGGGCGACTTCTTGTAAGGTTACCTCGGGGATCAATTTTAAGCGGGGGTCGCGTCGCAGGGTGCGGACGGAGACCCTCTTGAGGAGCGCTCGGGAAGCATGTTTGCGCGTGGGGGAGGGGAAGGGGAAGGGGTGCAGGAGAGAAAGGAGGGGGGAAGGACGAGGAAGGGAGGGAGGATGGGGAGGGAAAGAGGAAGACAAGGGGAGCAAGTGTGAGAGGAGAGGCAGGACAAGTTTGAGAGTGAAAGA